ATATCAAACTTCTAACAAAAATGCCCACTGTGACTTACTTCCATTCAAGAACTTAAACAGAGAATCGAAGAAGCTTGTGAACAGATACCAGAAGAAATGTGTCGCAAGGTATGTTGTTCTGTTCAACAGCGCCTTCATGTCTGTATGAATAATGGAAGACAATTTGTCTCAAACTAGGCTTACATATCAGTTACATTTCTGATTAAATAAATAAAAGAATATACTATAGCATCAGCATATAACTATGAGAAAAAACCTCATTGTAAAGTTTGCTTATAGCGTTAAAAAAATTTATGAACATAAAATTTGTTTTATGTTCATAAATGGTCTGTTTAGTGATGAATAGACACTTCTATCCGCTTACTATACTCAGAAAAAAAATCAGCTCATTTGGGTAAAGAATGACGAAAACATTGAACATTTTCTAACTCTAAGGACTTTACGGACACCCTATACATCATTTCAATACGGAGAAATTATTTTTACAACAGACAAATTGACCTGAAATGCGATATCACGGATGTTTTAAGCACTTTTCTCGCCATATGCAAGCGAGGATGTAACCTGTATTTGATATAGAAGCATAGCCCTTGATTTACTCTACAATATTCTATATAAAGAACCTTCAACCATTATTGGTCGATTCACGTATAGTTTCTACAAGAGACAAATTGCACCTAAAAAGACAATGTATCTCCAATGCTCTAAGTACTCTTTTCTCCCTATCTTTAGTATAGAAAAATAGCTTTTCGAAAGCTGTACAATACTGTGAGTAAACAAACTCTACATAGCATTGACTCAGTCCATTATAATTTAAATACGAGAAAAATCATGGAAATGCACTCATATTTTCATTATGAGCTCGCATTCCGTGCACACAATTATCTCGCAACGTAGAATTTAGTTCACTCGTAGTATTGAGAAATACGTAAACAGTTAGACCGGCAGAAATCGAAAAGCAACATGATAGTACTATGCCGAAGGAAAAGTTACGTTCGTCATAGTAACTACAAAGCTACTTATACGTACGAAAAAGTTATCGCCAAGCTTTTTGTCTCTCGAATAGACCGAATAGAGAACATGTTTAAATAACACACTGTATATAAAATGAACGACATAGTCACATGTAATAACAGTATCGTTTTTTTCGAGAATCAAACAGATGAGAAGCCTGAATATCTGATCGTATAGATGTTTGGTCATCTTAATTTGCGGAAATACTGTTATCCGATTACTCTGAAATTCACAACGGTTTCAAAAATAGCTTGGTGGACATAAACATTTTGGTTTACTGTCATGGAGTCATTTAACAAGAACACCGCGCTTACAGTAATACCCAAAAATATAAATGTTTTCCTTGTCAATAGTTTTTAACCTATGTGTTAATATATCATTCAAACACAACGGAATCGGATGTAGTTTTTCGAGCTCTTTCTAATGATGACGTCAATTTTTCCCCAAAACGTCGTCATTTTTCCCTTAATCGTGTTTACGACGAAATTTTGTGTTTTATATTCCGATCGGGATATTAATTTTTTTCTATATCCTGATCGGGATATAGCTATATCTCCATCAGGATATGTATTCCGATCAGGATATAAGAGGTGTCCCCTTACTGTCTATCTGCATTTGCTAGAAATGAATTCTTTGCAAACCTGCTATTTAAATCTCTGTTAGCATTTTTCTCGTTTATTCGTAATATCGAATGGTGCTGAGTTGTCGAACTGCGACACATTGAAAATAGAAAAATATTTCCTTTGATCCAAAAATAGATTCTATAAGAATTTTCAAAATATCAGAAGACTCATCGGAAAATTCTGCATCTTCTCACACATTTTTCGAAGTTTTTCAGTTAAATCTTCTTGGAAAGTTTCTCTGTACAAAAAACTGATAGATCTAAAAAAACTTAACTTTTGAATTTATTTTTCACAAACTTAGGATTTTTTAACTATAAAAACTGTAAAATGTTTTGAATGCACGATCTTAGTCTTATTATCTTGCACAGAATTAAATCCCCAGGAAGTATGCGATCGAAAGACCTGGATATACCAAAAGATGCAAAATTTAATTCTGTGTAAGATAGTACGACTAAGATCAAATTACGCTGAAATAAGTCAAAATACGACGGTCGTATACGTGTATGGATACGATACCATGTAAACGATGAAGTTACGACAGTCGAATACGGTCGTTTGTAATAAGTCAAAGGACGGGGTGCAATAAGAACGAGTATCGGCCCCATTTCGGATCAGCTCGAAAGGTATCTAGAATGGAAGAGAGTACAGTTTTATGGGGGTTCTACACCCTTGATTCCCGTTCGGATCTCATATCTGTCAGAAAATCGATCAGCTTTTAACAATAGCTTCGCGAACCCATTCCGAGGCCTTTTTCGTAATTTTCTCAGAATACAACAAGTTTGAAGGAAAGTCTTATATACCATTCGATGCAGCTGTAAACGGCGAATAAAATTATCTATTGCTCAATTGTTATGTATACTGCAAACATCCACGTTTTTGCAATATTACTGCCAATGTGGAGACATATCCCGATCGAGATGTACTCCCAATCGGGATATCCCGATTGGGATATCATTTTTTGAAGCAAAATTTTTTCTATACCCCGAACGGGATATAGTTTGGAATTATATCCAGATCCGGATATAATTCGATATCCCGATTGGGATATCAAGAAACTCTATATCCCAATCAGGATATCAAGAATTTTAACTTTTAATTTGTAAGAAAATGATAAATTTTAATTATATGAGAGCTGAATATTCTTCTCCTTCTTCTTTATTTCTCCTCTCTAATGTTCCTAGTAGTGTCTTTTGTTTTCTCCAGCTGATCGAAGAGACACATATATCTTTTTAACAGACGTAAATAGATTTCTTCTATTAGACATCTTTCATATGTGAGAGCAGTATGAAATATAATAGAAGATAGAAGACAAAGTCGTTACCGCGCACAGTTTCATCTACCATACATTTGTAACGTTCTTTTCTTCTTCGTCTTCTTATAACTATCAATAATTCACTTGATTCAATTATGTCTCCCAAAACATCAATGCAGAAACACCATACGGATCCAATCGTTACAAAATTTAAGTCTGATAAATTGAAGCGTGCTCAAAGAATATAAGGCAGTTTATCTACAAGAACGGATAGTTAGAAAATTTCCCGTTAAAAACAAAGCACGTATATTTATATATTGTCGACGCATGAGAAAAGAATTGTTTCAATATATGTGAGCATCGAAAAGGAAGATCCGATGTAGTTTTGCGAGCTAGTTTTTTGAGCTCTTTCGAATGGTGAAGTCAGTTTTACTCCAAAATCTCGTCATTTTTCCCTTAATCGTTTTTACGACGAAATTTCATGTTTATATCCCGATCGGGATATAGAAGGTGTCCCCTTACTGACTGTTAAAAATGACCTTTTCAGCATAGTTCACTATAGTATTTCTGTTCTTTCACCATGAGAGAACCTAGGTTGCGGTCTGTATTATATATCAAAAGAAAGCTCTTTCGAAACTCTACAAAATGGGTGATGATTCATTTCTAGGTGAAAGTGTGAACACTCATTTTTTCGGATATTGCTACTGCAGAGTGATGTTTTCGGCATCGACGAAGGGTGCAACAACTCAAGTTTACAGTGAGTACTCTCCTTCATGAGCATATAAAAGATGAATATTTGATGAAAACGTAGTTAATCTTAACGTATTATTGACTACATCGGTATCGAACCGAATATCCATATGCATCCTTATACTCTAACAGCTATAAAGCGGTGAAATGTTCCGTTCAAAGTACGCTTGTCAAGTAATTCAGCTACTGCCATGAAGGATGTCGAATCGAACAGTATCGATACAATTATAATGACATTTGTTCTGTGTAGTGCACCTGATCCATTACCTGAACAGTTACTAATAGAAGCACACCGTGTTTTGAAATCGGGCGGAGAATTACATTTGTTAGATCATGTCTTATCCGATCCAAATGTGAAACCAATGACAAACTTATTTCAAAAATTAGTTAATCCCCTATGGGCCATTATTGATGATGTTTGTCGCTTCAAACCAATTGTGAACTATTTAAATCAGATGAAAACGACCTATTCTAAAGTTGATTATCAGAATATCGGAGTACCTGTTCCTTTCTTTCTTATCAGCGATGCTATCAAGGGTGTGCTCACCAAATGAGCAACTTTTTCCCGTGTTCGATTCGCTTTTTGCAAAATACGCCATATATCAACTGTCAATCGTATTCTCAATATTATCCATTAAATAATGTGGCCTGATGTTATTTTCTGGCTACGTCCCAAAAGAGATACATTATATATTCTCATAAGAGATACAAATCCAGATTTTACAATGTATCGTTTAATCTACATTTACCCGAAAAATTTAATTAAAAAATTTTGCAAGCACATTTCTCACGGTTAAACGTGCTAGAGAAGTTATTGTTTTATCGATAAATAGAGCACATTAACCACATCTGTGTCAAGTTGATTTCTTGCATCTAAAAGAAATTTCTTAAAGTTACTGTCCTTTCGAAAACCGAATCGTACACCGTTCGTACACTTGCTTAGGTGTTTGAACAAAGGCGCTGACTGCATGTTGCCCGCAGAAGACATGTGCTTGCCTTTTCCACACAATTGTATTCAACTAAAAAGTGATGTCGTTTAAGGGTACCCCCCGCTTTTTTGAAAACATTTCGGATTTTGGGCTGAGTATAGCCTAATGTAGAGCAACGTGTCGGCTACCAAATGAGATCACTCCCAGCACTCCACGACCTTTCTTCTAAAAGTTATGCAGTTTTGAATTTATTGTTACCAAGCCTAAAAAAGCTCAGTTTTTCAGTTTCATAACCTTTTCTCTCCTTTTCTGTACATTCAAAATATATTTTACGCATAGTCTGATAGAAGAAGTGTTTTCTTCATAATGAAACATTTTCCAGAGATGAATTCCCCGAGTTTTCGTGGAGATATAAGCATCGCGACAAATGCTCTGACAAACGTGGCCTGTGTACAAAATGCGTTTTTTCTCGAAAACTGTATTTTTGCTACCAGGCTTAGGTGTGCCACATTACGACCCCTTAAATTTCATCGAATCGAGGCAAAAATTTTACCATAGCTACTCGAGACACTATTGCAGAGGCATTCTTTGGAACTTTAACTTTAAGCTTTTTTTTATCGAGTTATAGAGTTTATTAACACTCTGATTATTAAGCTACGCNCAGCAGTAATAAGTTAGACATCCTCATGTGTTCAATAGGAAAACCCATTATCAGTAACACGACTAACCAGAAACAAAATTCAACAACATCTTACCACTGTGTCCACTACACTCACACTGTCGGATGAAACATTAAAAACATCGACAGATCCATTGAGGGTACCTCTCCCCTCATTTTGGGCTTTCCGTAGAAATGCTGTGAAATAAAAACTAAAACTCACTAAGGTTTCATATTTTTAGAAGTGATTAGAAGCTTAATGGAGCACTTTTTCGTTTCTGTTTCAAGTTTTTAACTATTGCCCTTCACTAGCTTTCCAGAAAACTCGGTTTTTCATTATGCCACATTACTACCCCCTTAAATTTCATTCGATCGAGTTCAAAATTTTACCGGAGGTACTCAAGGTCACAGCGCACAGGTATTTTTTGGGAAACTTTTTTAAGACCTTTCCAACCGTTTGGTCGAGTTATAGAGAAAAGACTGAAAAACGTTTCAAAAACCAAGTTTTTCAATGTTAGAAACAATATAACTCGATAAAGAAAAGTCTAAAGTTAAAGTTCCAAAGAATGTCTCTCAATAGTGTCTCGAGTAGCTATGGTAAAATTTTTGCCTCGATTCGATGAAATTTAAGGGGTCGTAATGTGGCACACCGAAGCCTGTTAGCAAAAATACAGTTTTCGAGAAAAAACGCATTTTGTACACAGGCAACGTTTTTCAGAGCATTTGTCGCGATGCTTATATCTCCACGAAAACTCGGGGAATTCATCGGAGAATTCTGGAAAATGTCTCATTATGAAGAAAACATTTTCTTCTATCAGACTATGCGTAAAATATATTTTGAATCTACGCTGGTCTTCTGTTTAGCTTTCAAATCATATAATTGGAAGTAAGTTGTAACTTTGTAATTAATTTTATGCTCTGAATGTCAGATCAATTTTAGTATAGATCTTGAAAAGATCTAGAATAAAATACACTAGGATTTTCCTAAAATTTGTCTATTTGTTTATACAAAAATTCAAATCTAGATAAGGATAAAAGTCGTAGCAGGCTCCTCAATCTCAGGATTCTGTTAAACGCGAGTGAATCCTGGCAGGATCCTGTATTCTCGATTCAGCAAAAAATCTGAACAGGATCCTGTGTAATCATGAAAAATCCTGCAAACAGGAATTACTAGGGCTAGAGACAAGGTCCTGAATAAAACTTGACAAGATCCTTCCAGGCTTTCTCAAGGAATGAACAGGATTGAGACTAAGGTATCTATCTGGAAGAACGGTCGTCACATTTTAGATATCAGCTTTGACATCTAGAAACGCTAATGAATTGTTTATTTTTATCTGATGAGTACATTGAAAATCGAAATGAACAGAATTTAATTTATATTATTTTCTGCTGCTGTGTTGTACTCACTTAACGAGCGATGTCAGAAGTAAAGTGATGAAACGTCTTGAATAAAATATACTTACTATAATGTTAAAAGGTGAATCAACTTCACTTTTCATTTTCATTGCTCATTGAGATTCATTGCCAACTTTCATTGCTCAACGAGACATACTCTTCTCTAAAAGTGTGAGATCATGAATTTGATAAGACGATGTCTAAAATTCAGTTAGAATAAAATTGGTAGGCTAAATCTGTTCGATAGTCATTCGAATGATGTGGAAAATGCTCGATATGAAATCGATGTCTATTCTATATAATGTCGACGTTTTATCCTTTTCTTCGACCAAAGTTGCTTCAGCATTTATTCTTCGATATTCTTGTGGAATTCCACAAGAGGAATTCACACAAGATTAGGTGAGGCGGGAGATTACTTTCTTTGTCATTTATTTCGTTAAATTCTACCAGTATATGTGGGACTGATAGTAATAACGGGCACAAGTCGATGAAGAGCGTTCAATTTGTTTTTGGCAAGTAATACAACTCAATGTCTGAAGTAAGCTTTATATAAAAAACAAAAAACATAATAAATAATAAGATTAACATTCAGTGTATTGCACTGGTTCACTCGTACATAATAATTAATGTAGAATATGTGGATCTCATGCTGTTACACGCAGACTAAGAAATATTTGCCTTTACTCACGATACTTTCAGTTTTAGAATGGATTCTTCTAATGATAACTAAATTGTAATAAATACAAATAAACAAGTGGGTAATCGTGAGAACGAACAAAAAATTAATTATTAGGAAAGCATGGTTTCTTTAGAAAGAGGGAAAATGCAATAGATCATTTTGGAGAGGCTGCAACGCTCATTTTTTCTGTGTTGTTAATCGAGTATTAGAACATTCATAGAATAAAATGTCAGCTCAAAATTTGCTGTTTTTTTTTTGTCGAGATACGAAACTTTTAGTGCTTTTGTATCTGTTTTTTCAGCATTACAAATAAACCTTCACCCTCACAATTTTAAAAAAAGCCCTAATTTAGTACAGAAATAAACAAACTTTTATCTCGCTCAAAATTCAATCAAACCATTCGAATTGTTCGGAACAAAATCAGATGGATAAATTTCATACTTACTAAACCGAAAATTTACTAAAAGTTCACTTGTACATAATAATTAATATAGAATATGTGGATTTCATGCTGTTACACGCACATTAAGAAATATTTGCCTTTACTTACGATACTTTCAGTTTTAGAATGGGATCTTCTAATGATAACTAAATTTTAATAAATACAAATAAACAAGTGGGTGACTTTGATACACTGTCGGGACTACATATTATAGTATCAAGACTTTCAATTCTCTTTTAAAAAGTGATGAGTGAAACACTCCATAGGCTATAATTATTATTCATGATAGTGAATAGCGTTTAGTACGGATGATACAGATTACATTATAAAGATTATCTCGGAATAGTTCAGAACGGAAAAGAACCCCCTGATCATTGAAAGTTCAGAAATTTATTTACGGCAAGTAGAAAAAAGGCCGTTGACTATCAAATACTCCGACAATCCAGCCCGAGTCTCAGCTACATGGCGAGCCGGATGACAGCATAAACGCATTATCTGAAACAGGGGACAACAGACGACAAACAACACGACGTGCGATGTCGAACCATTACTCTCTAAAAAATCTCTGTAAAAGTTTGCCTTTATTACAGAAAATTTCTTTAAGCGGTTGGTCTGCAACTTTTTCGAACAGGTGTGTCAGTCTTTTAAAAGGTTGCGCGGTCTGATAGGAGACATCATGAAAAATACTGGGTGATTTGACAGAGTTCTTAATGATCCCTCGTTGGTTCAATGATGTTCTTGTTGTGCAGTTTTCGACGTAATAACGGCATTGGTATGCCTCGTATAACTGTGACGATTCGCGGAATAAATATTTTCAGGATCGTCAATATCCCACCAACAAGGCCAACAAGGGTTGTTACAATGTAGATGATGTCGTTTCGTTGGTCAATAGTGTACCGACATTGCGTTGGATTGCATGCAGAATAATACGAATCATAAGATATATTTGTATACCATTGTTCAACGGTCAAATTTTTAAGTAATTCTTTGATAGTTGTTGTTCGAGAGTAACTAATCAGTAATGATGAGTTTAATGCCCTGACATATGTTGGATAAGGTGATGCCATAATTCCTTGTAACTCATCAATGTTCAACTGATTATAAAAATAATCTAAATTTGACTCGAGTAATGCATCAAAATTGAAACATGCCGTGAATATACCAGGCATAGGCAGTACTATTTGATCGATGTAATTAGAAATACCCGACGGTGCAATACACGTTGGTGTCGTGAAGCATGAACACATATAACTACCATTAAAATAATACAAAAATACAATGCGAGTGTCAGTAAGAGTCGCATTTTTATCAATGATCAAATTTACATCTAGTTGTGTTTGAGGGGCGGGTGTAAAAAAATTATCTTGAATTGCGACGCGAATCAATTGTATTACCTGATCAAATGAATTAAATGTAGACAATTGAAATAATGTAATGACAGATGATATTTCTTCATAAAATATGGACAATGGCTGAACAATTGATGAAACATAAGGAGTAGCAATAAATGTGCTTAATTCCTGTGATACAGTTTGATCCGATAAGTCACACATGTTCGATAACATCTCAAAAAAGTATCCTCCAAACACTCGAAAATCAGTATTTGTAATGGCACTAGAATAAGTATATTTAATTGAACGATACCATGCGTCGGTAATGAAATCACTGCTGCATACTTGATGGTATTCAGGTCTGACTTGAATAAATTTTGAACGTCGGATCGAGCTTGTTGCACATGAACATATCAACGTTTGATTATATTTGGCGTATAGTTGAGTATATGAAGTCAAGGATGGTGACTGAACAATGTATGTTTTGGTGACACTGATTAATGACATGTAGAACAAAAGTATAAATAACGACAATAGCAATAATATGACTGTTATTCGAGTCGAGATGATTTCATTCTCTAATACATTGGGATCTTGCGATACGTTATATTTGAACAGATTGAACGTTTTGACGTATTGTGTTAGCTTAGTGTAAAGTGAACTCACCCGTCGACGAACTGTCATCCTCACTAAAAATGGGTAGTATTTGGTAAAAATAGAATGAGAGGCTTTAGGAATGGAAGCACGATAAGAAAAAGTTATTCGTCTAAGTTGGTATTCAAGCGCCGCTTACTAGCACATAAGTATATTTGATTTGTTTTCAATATAATAATGCCCTATTAAATTGAGGGATGTCCGGATCCTGGCAATTTCGGAAATTTTCTCTTCAAACTGCAATTTTGCTGCTTTAACAGGAATTTCGTATTCAATTAACCACGCATTAGTAAAATTCTGTTTTCCACCAGATTGTCAATGGGAAATTCTATCTTCGCTAGCATGAATTTCCCTCTTCCAGAAAGTATTTCTCTCTTAGCTAGTAGGAATTTCTACCTATGATACTGTTTTTGTTTCGGTATCATTTACCGCCTGTGAAAGGTTTTCGGGAGAGTGGGCTTTTTGTAGTCCAGGAAAGGATACAAAGAACTGCAGCAAAATGTTGTGGCAAACAGACTTCCTTGTTGTAACTTAGAATCTAGCCATAAAGCTGGTCACGAAATGTTTAACTACTCTACTTACAGTCATGCCTCGCTGCGCTCCTTCCCGAACCCGAAGATTATTCGGAAATTAGCCAAAATTTTCTTTCAATTTACGATAATTAATAAATAATTAATTTGTTCTGTAGAATAAATAAATATTATGAGCTTACACAAAGTCCTGCCATTATGTGCCTTAACTTTGAAAAATCATTGTTCTGAAATAGCCTAGTCTGCTAAAAGGTAGACTTTTCAGACTATTAGATTATACGGTGCTTTTCAGTTGATATTTTTAATGAAACTAGTGGTTCCTGCCATTGGAAGATGCGACGTCAAAAGATGAGTACTCACCTCTTACCTCTTCTGCATTCCACGCCATCGGTATGTGATTTCGACGGATAAAATTAACTATGGGTGGAATGACGTTGATTAAAATTTTAATAAGTCCTCCAACTACACTTATTAATAGAGTTATAATATAGACAACAGTATTTCTTTCAAATAGACTGTATGTGCATAATGTTGGCTGACATGCACGATAATACCAGTCGTAATCAGTACGATTATTCCATTCTTCTATCATCATTTGATCAATGATATCTGCGATATATGAATTGGTTGGAATCGATTGTTAGCCGAGCCGTTTAGAGCTTTGGTACTATGACCATAAGTTAAACCCATCAGGGTTACAAGTTCATCTACAAACGTTTGATTATAAAGACAGTTTTCTGTTAAGCCTGGAAGGATCTTCCAGGATCCATAAAAAATGAATTCTGGATATTTGCTGGTAGGAAAATCTTAGGTCAGTTTTGGCCCTTGGGTCCTCTATTTCTTATAGAAGGAAGGATCTGGGAATTCTGAGTGTACGAGAACGTTTCCTCTGCTAGTCGAGATCTATCTATCCTTGAAAGTTCCAAAATTTTTGGTCGAGCCGTTCTTGAGAAACCCGGGAAAACATTTTCACGTCCGGAAAGGGGGACGGATACCCTTAAGTGCGAAAAGCATCAATCCACATGCTACTGTGATTTTTATACGAGAGTATATGTACGAGCAAAGAGTGAAAGAAAAGTAGCAATGACATAATTCATTTATGTGTACATTGTTACTTATATATCTCAATGAGAGCAAACCAAAAGGATGGTGTGGTCTTAGATTACCTTATCAAGATCTTACTAAGATAATTTTGAAGAAATGCCAAAGACTTGATAGGCCAGCATCTCATTTTGTAGATACATCTCATAGAGGCTATTATTGTCAATGTATCTGTACTCTATGAAAAAACATTTTCCAAATCAAAATTATATAGATTTTTTTGTGAAAACATTCAAATACTTTCGCAATTCACTCTCACTAACGGTACCACTTCGCCATCCTTCATACAGTGGGTTTCGAGAAATATTATTATTTCTCACTAGGTATCAGATAGAACACTTCCTCCGCATAACGAATTTTGGTACCGATTATCAAATCAAGAGTTCTAAAAAGTATCTACTCATTGGAAAAACTAGTCCCACAGTTAATAAAGAATCCACGACAGTACAATCTAATATTCACAAATTAAAACTCCAAAAAATCAAAATCGTCTCCTTGACGTAATTAGCATTAAAAGAAAGACATAAATCCTTAATCTGTTTTTCAGCATATCGGGGAAAATATGGCGATGATTTAAACTTTGGGCAAACTATTGATGTAAGTGCTGAACATCAAAGGATCATAGAATGGAACGTTTGCGTAATTTAACTCAAGAGTTAAAATATTTTCTCAAAACTCTGAACCTGTTCAAAGAATATCCACCGTCGACCGATGAGCATGAGATTAGAAATGAAATTGTTTCTACTCGTCTATTCATTGTATTATTCTCGCTGGTATTCTGTGTTCTCGTTATTTATACATCGTCGATGAGTGTCACAAAAACAGTCACCGTCTCTTTTCCTTCTCTCGACCGATACACTGAGCTGTATGCGCACTATCAACAGACACTCTCGTGTACATGTCAACAGATATCCATCAGATATCAATCATTCATTTCGTTAGTTCCATCATTTCATCAGATATGTAGCAGTGATTTTGTGTCCGATTTATGGATTTCAACGCTAAGTAATATTTCAACAACGACTAAAAATAGAGATTTCCGATTCTTAAGCGGACACACGTTTCAATTGTTGTCAGAATTGTGTTCATTAACCGTGAGACAAATTCAAAACGATTTAACTGTCTTTTATTCAACCGAGTATTTTAGCCCAAACATTCAATCAACAAACGAATTTCAGTCACAAACAAGTGCTATCATCGATCTATTTACGAACAGCTCAGTTAACTCCTTCATACGATTATTAAGAGTAATACGTGATGTCATTCACGAAGAACAGTTACTGGCAATAACATCTACGAATTTTCAGATCATACCAATTAAGTCCCAAGGTTGGCCTCTTCTGAATTTAAAAGCAGTGGTATATGAAAATTGTTGTATGATCAGCTCAAAATGTTCGACATCTGCTTTTATTTATAATGATTCAACTGACCTGGTACGAATAGAAATACCTGGCTTTAGAATGGGCTGCATTACGCTCGAATCGTTGTTTTCCTCTACCCTTGAATGTTTCTATAATCAGTCTTGTATCGCACACTTTCTTACATCGATGGGGATACTGAATCAGATACCCACTTCAGCTCTGAACATTTCTGAGACTCGATTTCAGTCAAATTCGACCATCGAGCAATTATTTCAATCATTGCTAATTGAGTCGTGGATTGAACGTGCTGACCACGACTCTTATTACCAAGAATGTCAACCATCGTCATGCGTTTACACATTCAGTAGACGACTTGATGTTATATATATCATAACAACGATAATTGGTCTAATCGGCGGCCTCACCAGCGTCTGTCAGATGATCATTCCGCTAACAATAAAGTTCTTTCGGCGAAAAAAACAAGGAACAATTAATATCGGTAATTAGTATTCGCTTAGATTGGCCTACAGACGTCGAACAGTTCTTGTAAACGTTTCTGATATCCTGAATCTTCATCCTCAGTTTGCGCTGCCACGTTTTATTTGAAAGTAAAAGTCTAGCTATGGATTAGTAAATCAGTTCAAAAAGTACTGCCGTCAGGTGATCCAAGAATGAAATTGTTGTACAACTGTTAAATTTTCTTGTATAATAAAAGCAACAAAATGCTTGTAAACGGATTTCAAAATAGCAAACCCTACTTCTTTCTACCAAGTTATATATGAGCTAGAATATCATAAAAAAGTTTTTCTTGATCTTCATTCGACTCGAACTGGGTTTAACGATGACTGGAACCGGATTGAACCGCGCTGAGACTAAGTTACGTTTATTGTAAAAAGAGACAGAGACCAGTGACTGACATTTTGTTTTTAGAATCAACGACTGGTAGTACATATCGAAACTTATGGAAAAAAATTCGCGAATTTAACGTGATCAAATCCTTTCCACCTGCCTATGATATTCATGCTATAGAAAATGA